GTAGCCATGGGGGGGGGATGTGTTACACAACCAAGTGCAAAGTGAGGCTTTCTGTCAGAAGTTAAAACAAAAATAAAAACAAAAAAAAAGTTTAAAAGTCTGTCTATGATGACAAAATTTTAAAGAATGAAAACATAATATTGGGTCATTGGAAAGTCGCAATGCATTTTTGCACAGAAAAGTAAGTCATGAATTTTGCAAAAACCCAATAGATGAGAGGAGCCAACACTTCTACAGTACTGAGTTAAAAGAGGCTCATGTGCACCAAGAAACCAATTATGATAACCTAGGGTTAACCTCAGGCATGACCAGATTGTTACATTTAAGCTTTGAAAATAAAAATAATGAACTGAACAGCAGATAGACAGAATGTACTGGATCCCACATAGCTGACTCCACTGTTCATGTCCTACACCTGGCAGATTGAAAATAAACCTGGCACAAGTTAGTGCATACCTAAAATCCGGAGAGGAGAATATAGAAAGTACTGCGGTGTAGCCATCCCTCTGGGTGTGGGGTGTGGGGGTGATTTCTCACTTTCCTCTCTCTCTCTCTCTGGCAAGCACACGCACCCTATAGCAAAACCCTAAAATAATAATAATAATAATGAACTGCACAGAAGAACAAACAAGGGGATGATTTACATAGCATCTCTCAGAGCTTCAACTGCTGCCTCCAGAGAAGACTGCCTGAACCATAATAAAAAATAAAAATAGCCAGCAGAGTGGGACCACAGTGAAAATGGATAGAATCACTTCACAGTGACCAGTAGCTTCATTCAGCAAGACTCCATATTCTTCCTTCCCTATTTTGATGCTTAACAAGTAAACCCCTTAACATAATTTAGTTTTCCACAGAGTGTTCTCCAAAGGGCACTGCTGGCATTCTGGTCCAGAGAACCCTTTGCTTTCAGGATTGCACCCCAAAATGCAGGCTATTTTTATGTGAATGTTTCCATTGGCCAATGGTAAGTAGTTCTACCCTTCAGTTGAGAACCATGGCTGTATAGTTTCCTATTAACACTGATGTTATTACCTTAATTAAAAATCAATATACTGGGACCAGCAGTTAGCATAATGGCTATGTCGCTAGACTCCCATGTAGTCGACCGTGGTTCGAGTCCCAGATCCAGTGGCTCAAACTCACGCCGGGGCGTGTGCGTGCATGCCCAAGATCCCAAGAGGAGAATGGAGTAGAAGGGATTGCGGCGTGGCCATCCCCCCTGGGGGGTGATTTCTCGCTTTCTGTCTCTGTCTCTCTGGCAAGCATACATGCCCTATAGCAAAAACCTCTCTTAAAAAAAAAAAAAAATCAATATACTGGTACCTTGATTTGTATACTTCCAAATACAATGTCCAAGAAGTTATGAAGTGGTAAATCAACCATTAAGACCCCACCCTGTAAAGACAAGCCCAGGTACAGTTTCCTGAAGCCCTTCTGGGGAGGCTAGAAGGTCTTCTTCAAATAAGGTTCCCTGGACCGACTGCATATTTTAAAACTACAAGAGCAAGGTGATTTTTAAATTTGGGGGCAAATTTTTGTAGTATGCTATTTTGAAAACTATTTTCAAAAGAATTATTTTCCCCAGTCAGCATCTCACCTCATAGCATTCACAGTAGTTTTTAAGACATCCTGATCGTTTGCAATTACATCCTTTGCTGTGACGTCGATCTGATTCTCCCTCCTTTCCTTTCCCTATTTTAGGCTTAAAAGCTTCCGGATTTCTGTCAAGGCATGCCTATCGAAACAGATTAAATAGTAACTGAAGTTAAATCAGCATATTAAACATTGCAAAGGTAATGTTTTTCTTTGTAAAACAATTAAAGACAGGTGAAACTGGAGATTTTTATCAGTTAAATGAAATAAAAATTATCACCTTTATTGCTTTTTGCCTTTCATTTTCATGTTCCAAATTGTTGTAACAATTAGTACAATTACAGTTGTTGCAAAATTCGCCATTTGCAAAGCAATCACAATATCTGGAAAGTAAAAGTGTGTGTTAAGGTGCAAAGTCATTATTAAAACTAGTAATTATCTGATTCTATATACATTATACTATTCAATTATCTATGTTATAAAGCATTTTAGAAATGTTCTCAGAGCACCAAGTTACAGATGAGATAATAGCACATACTGATTGTCAACCATATACTAAGGTTCAAAATTTATTAACTCCTAAAATTTTGTCCTAAAAACTTAGGCCAGGCTAATAACAACTTTCACCATAAAAGCTACGTGAGTTTATGTGCCCCCAAAATAAGGTACTTCAAAAATCTTGATAAGGGAAAAACATTGGCTATACTCTATTAGTAGAATCAGTTCACTTGGGGTATAGTTCTGCTTTTTGGACTCTGAGGACCAATGCTTTGCAATGAACTGTTCATGTCGAATCTTTTAGTTTAGGGACCAGCAGATGGTGTAACAGTTACATCGCTGGACTCCCAACATAGTTGACCATGGTTCGAATTCACGGTTCGAGTTCTGGACCTGGCGGCTTAAAACTCACGCCGGAAGCATGTGCAAGCATGCCCAAAACCCTGAGAAGAGAATGGAGGCGAAGGGATTATGGTGTGGCCATCCCTCCTGGGGGGTGATTTCTCACTTTCTGTCTCTCTGGCAAGCACACACACCCTATAGCAAAACTCTCTCTTAAAAAAAAAAAAAAAAAAAAAAGGAAAAAAATGTTGAAGTTTAATATTAATAAATTAATCATCTAATGATTTTTAAATCATCCAGTCGAAACTCAGAGCAGCATCTCACTTAGGAAACCAAATACAAAGGTAATAAATAAAATCAAAATTATTATTATTGTTTTGTTTTTAGAGGTTTTTGTTATAGGGAGTGTGTGCTCACCGAAAAGACAGAGAGAGAGACAGAGAAACAGAAAGTGAGAAATCACCCCCCGGGGGGATGGCCACACCACAATCCCTTTTCCATTCTCCTCTCAGGATCTTGGGCACGCATGCACACACACCTGGCTTGAGTTTAAGCCACCGGGTCCGGGACTCGAACCATGGTTGACTACATGGGAGTTCAGCGACATAGCCATTACACCCACTGCTGGTCCCTCAAAATTATTATTTTTAATTTTAAATTTAATTTTACATTTATCTATCTATCTATCTATCTATCTATCTATCTATCTATCTATCTGTTGTGATTTTCAGGCTACCAAGTTCAGGACTTGAATTGCGGTTGACCACATGGGAATCCAGCACCTCAACCACTGTGCCACCTACCAGTCCTGACCAGAGTTATTATTAAGGGCAGAAACAATGTCTGCTTCACATGGTCATGTCCCTAGCCCTCTAATTTCAGAAGCTCATATATGGTAAAGACACTAAAATTTTTTCTTTCTGAATGAATGAAAAGGACATTTTTACACTGCCATATACGCTCATTAACTTGTACATTTACTTATATACTAATTACTTGGATATATGAAATTGGTTTGTTAATTTTTAGTTAGCTCCTATTTTTAAGAGCATTTCTAGTTATATCATATAAGCAAACAGTAGCAAAAACACTTACAATTTCAAGCACAGAGATTTTGTACAATTACAGGGCTTTCTGGGTCTACTCGCAGACTCTGATGAGATTATGCTATACAGGCACAAAAACAGACATTTTAATAAATTAAAGGTTAACTAGTTAAAATTACAAAACTCTCCAACCTATAAATTCCTCCTAAAATAAAATTTTGACAACTGAATCTATCTCTAATAAACATTCGCCATGTTGTTTCATTTACATTAAGTTCAAAAGCAAGTTGTAACATGGAAAGAGAGGTTGAAGGCCAAGATAGGGAATACTTAAAAAACAACAAAAAAGGAGTTATTGATAACATAGATAATGCCCCACGAATAGTCTTCCTTTTGGTGGAACAAAAGTTGAACTCTCCTCCAAATTCCTGGGACTCAAGTACAAAGGTAGTAAGGAAAAATGGGGAGGGAAGAGGTGGGGGGACATGGATGGTCCCATATAATTAATTAAGCTCTGCTTCTAAACTGATAGTGCAAAGGCAGCAATCAGCAGATGAGCAAGCCAACAACAGTCAAAAAAACAAGGGCTAACATAACAATTTTCAAAGTAGTCAGTACCATCATTTTAAAAACATATTCAGAACAAGAGAGATAATAAAAATGCCGCAGAACTGAGTAAAAGGAATCTGGGAGATCTCTGACTAGTTGTGTATCTTTTCTGTATTTCAAAATAAAGAGAATTATAATTTAGAGGCATGCTCACATTGCTTTAAGGGGAAAAAAATCAAATAGGATATATTTTATGTGTATTTTAAGCTGATCCATCAGCTTACCTACATATTTTCACAATACTCACCCATTGAATGGAAGCCTTGCCTGGGTCTGGATACCGGATGTCCCAGTGAAGTTGGAGTTGCTTGCTATCGACACATATGAAGACTGCTGTAGCTACATGTAAACAGAGTAATTTTAGATCATATTTGCAAATACGGAGCATACTCTCAGATACAATGATCAGTACAAGAACAAATTCATCTGCTAAAATAGGAGAAACGTAACAGCAAAATTCATAAACACCTCATAGAGCTCGTTAAAAAACCCAAACCAATACTAGTGAACATCTTATAGTCCTACTTTATACAAACATAAGAGAATATTTCATAAAAGAGTAAGTAGCCAGAATGAAAGGATTTTCTAGGTAAATGCCCTGAAAGTACTACAGTAACTTGTCCTGGCTGAAAACAAAATACACTGTGTCTAACTTGCAAGTAAAACAGGTACTATATTGCTCATTCATCATATTATGAATCACATGGAGAAAGAGAAATTACATGTACAATAACTGAGTTTCTATTTTACACTGATTTCTAAACATAAGAAACATTCATGCTAAAAATGCTGAACACTATTTTTTTTTATTGGTGACCACACAATAAATGAAGTGCACTTCATTGAAGTATGTAAGTGAGTTTCTATTTCTCTCTTATGAGTTGATAAATTTTTAGTTTAAACAAGGTGCTGATTTACTTGGTCCTTATATGACAAAGAAAACTTCTAGGTACTTCATGAAAGCAACACTGGATTGGATAATACAGTCCTTTCATTTTGAAAGATAAACAGATGAGAATCCAGCATATGGAGTGGTAGTTAAGGCACTAGACTCCCACGTGGCCAAGCATAGGTTTGAATCCTGAACCTGGTGGCTTGAAAATCACAGCAACAGCGACCAGTAGATGGCATAATGATTATGTCACTGGAGTCCCACGTAGTTGACTGCAGTTCAAGTCCCAGACAAAGTGACTTAAACTCACTCCAGGTGCACGTGTGTGCATGCTTAAAATCCCAAGAGGAGAATGGAGAAGGGATTGTGGCATGGCCATCCCCCCTGAGGGGTGATGCTTTGCTTTCTGTCTTTGTTGCTTTCTGTTTCTCCAGCAAGCTCATGCACCCTATAGCAAAAATCTCTCTCTAAAAGAAAAACAAAGAAAAAGAAAATCACACCAAGGATGTGTGCATGTGTGCCCAAAATCCCAAGAGGAGACTGAAGAAGGGTCTCTATCCAGTACACATGCCCTGTTCCAAAAACCTTTTTTGGGGGAGAGATTTTTTTTCTTTAGGGCGTGTGCACTTGCCAGAAAGACAGAGAGAGACAGACAGAAAGTAAGAAATTACCCCCTCGGGTGGATGGCCATGCCACAATCCCTTCTCCTCCATCCTCCTCTCGAGATCTTAGGCACATGTGCACATGCACCCAGCGTGAGGTTTTTTTTTTTTTGAGAGGTTTTCGCTATAGGGTGCGTGCGCTCGCCAGACAGACAGAGAGAGACATAGAGACAGAAAGTGAGAAATCATCCCCCAGGGGGGATGGTCACGCCGCAATCTCTTCTCCATTCTCCTCTCGGGATCTTGGACATGCATGCACATGCGCCTGGCGTGAGTTTTAAGCCACCGGGTCTGGGATGCGAACCGCGGTCGACTACGTGGGAGTCCAGCGACATAGCCATTACACTAACTGCTGGTTCCCCCAAAACCCTTTTTTAAAAAAGGTAAACAGATGAGAATGCACAGATCACTAAAGATATGTCCCCTGGAAATGCATCTCGCAAATTATTTTTCAACCACAAGTCAATGGCATTATATTCACGTGTGAGGACTGGATTTATTATAGTCACAGTTTTTCTTAAATTCATTTAGACTCTGCTGATTTTAACTCCACCTTAACTTTCCCTCACATCTCCGTGCTCTTGTCCTCTCACTAAGCTGCTCGTAGCTCCAAACTGACTTGTGCATCTGACTTGTGACGTCTATTTCTAAATGCTAAATACACACAGAAATAAACTCACACATTTTCATGAACATTTCGAGAGGTTGGAAAGCTACTTTAATCATAGTGGTCTCAGAATGTGATAGCACTAGACACCTTGGACCCAACTATCATTCTGAAACACAGTGAGTTCGTGTTGGCCACGTACCTGAGTAACGTACTGAGCGGGAAGCACTGCGTAACCCACATTCCCTGTTCCTGGAGCTGGTGCCAGCACAGTGCCGGGTGGCAGGTTAGTGAGGTTGGGCTGGATCTGTGGCAGTGGTGTGGCAGGCATGATAAGCCGCTGCTGTGGCTGGCTGGTAGTTACTATCTGTGAAGCTGGATTGATTGGTTTGGGAACAACCTAAAAAGGAGGGAATTGTGATAAGGATCATAGAAGTCGATTTTATAGCTGCTCAATTCAATATGAATGATCTGTATCTAAATATTAACTTTTAATTTAAGAGCAAACTGTCTGACTGGGAGAGACTGGGAAAAGAAGTGTGACGTGATACTCACCTGCTTGACAGCCTGCGCTGGGACGATCGGGACTGACATCCGCACTGGGGTTGTGTTAACCACCACTGGCTTTGCTTTAAAAACAACAACAACAATAATAATTTATGGACAGAGAACAGTATTTAAAACACTACTTTAATAATACTTAGTTCTTCTAAGAGTTATCCTCATGAAAAAGCCCAAAGAATTCCATTTGTTTCCTATTTTATACATCTTTAATCAAGATGGTTACTTTCAAAACTGCTATCTCCAGCTACCAGAGAGGATGTATCTAAGCTAGCTACAGGACAGCCACTTTAGGAGGAAGCGTTTGTGGATTCAAGACATTCTTCGAAAATACTTTGACCTGCATTCAGATGATTTAAATAGTCACTGTTAAACCCAGTCAAATGTGATGTTTTGCAAGTAAAAAGAGCTGTCATTCATGACATTAGGTACCAACAGTGATCTATGCTTCAATTTGTAATTGTTGTGTTTCTATTCAAACCAAAGATAATATCGTTCTCGTATAATTTATATAATTATATATTTATAAAATACATACGAAAAGGCAGCATTCCATAAGGAGTAAGAATGGGGGCCCAGCTGAGATGGAGCAACAGTGGCATGACACGCTGCAATGCTAGAAGCCACATGAAAGGTCCGGTTCTGGCTCCCTGCCGACCGTGCGTGCCGGGTGCACGTGCACATGCCTTTGTGTTCCCAGTGGGCTAGGAAAGCTTGGGTGGGGACTGGGGTGGGTGGGAATCAGTGTGGGACCCTATTGAGGGTGCTTGTCTTTCTGTCTCTCTCATGAAAGAACAAATAACAATGTGGATTCTAAAGTCATAGGGCTGAAGGGGTTCAAATCCCAGTTTTGCTGCTCTCTATTCAATACTTAAACTCTTTATTTGTACCTTCATCTACAACATGGGGTGCACCGTCTACCTTATAGGCTACAAGGATTAAAGACGTTAACTCATGAAAACTAATTAGAACAATGCCCAATACATGCTAAAGGCTCAACGAATAGGAGTTGCCATTACTGTTGCTGTTATAACCATTACTACTCGATGACTGGCATCGTGGCCAGTGTTCCAGGAAAACTCAAGTCCAAGAAACCTACTCTCAAGGAGATCACATTCTGGTAGGGCAAATTAGGTAAGCACCCAAGTAAGATGAATACTATTCAAGACGATAAATGAAGTGCTGGCGGAATTCCAAGGACTGAGAAGCTGCATCTGATGGGCAGAGGATAGGCACATGGAAGGAGTGCATGAAGGACATGGTATTGAGATAGGCCCTGACCATGGCAGGGTGCAGAGAGGCCACACAGACTGGATGCATGAGGAGTGGAGACTTGATCCTGGCAAGCTGCAAAGCATATTCACAAACAGTAGGTGAACAGATATAGGTTGGCCGAAGCCTACAGGTTAAAGTAGGTAAAACACAGGCAAAAAAGCAGAGTGCAGACATTTTGTTTAGGATCTTGAATGTCAGCATGGCGATCAATATATTTAATCTGCACTTTTAATTCGGTAGGCAATGAGAAATTTCCGGGCATATTTACATACAGAAATACTACTGGAATAGCACAAGAAAAACTGCATTTGACAGCAGTGTGTAAAACAGCATGGAGTTGTAAGAAACTAGGAGAATGCAAAACGGAGTCTGACCTGGAGTGACAGCCCTGGGGATAAAAAGGAGAGAGCAGATACAGCGATCTGGTGGAGGGATAAGGGACACAAGTCACCAACCACTGAGTGGCAGGCACTAGAGGGAAGGGGAGTCACCGCAGACTTTCAGGTGAGGAGAAAAAGACTGCTATGAGGACTAGAAACTGGCCAGTTGCAGTGGGCATGCTGCTCAGATAGATGTGCTGTCCCCCAGGCTGGGATGATCCGAGAGGCTCAGGAGCTTTCCAGTCCGACATAAAGGCCAGGCACTGTGGTGTGTGCCTGTGATCCCAGCAACGAGGAAGACCACGAACTTGTGGCCAAAATGGGCAACATAGTGAGACCCTGTCTAAGAGAGCTGGGCATCATGGCGCGTCCCTGCAGTCACAGCTGCCAGGCTGAGGCAGGAGGATCATGACTTAATAAAAAATAAAAAGAGGCCAGAGAGTGGCCTGAGAGAGTGGCGTGTCAGGAAAACATGATGTTCTATGGCCATGTGAGATGGTTCCCAGTTTGTGGCTGAAGACCTCCCTGAGTACATGGGACACATGTGTGCCCATGATCCAGAGCTAGTGTCAAGACTGTTGGGGGCTGTCTGTACCGCGCCTGCTTATAGAGAAAAATAAATAAAAATTTCTTTAAAAAACCGTATAAACTTAAGGATGAGCTAATTTGAAAGGAAGATGAAACCTGACATGAAGAAATGCAGTGATCAGTTTTGGGAAAGAGGCTAGCATTAGGCCTGTAGGTCTAGACCAAGAAAAGTGCAGTGCTAAATGCTGCCTACTGCCATTTTTAAGGTTTAAAGGTGGGATTCAAGAAGACAAAAAGGACATCTCTTCAATTTTTGCTTAAGCAGAAATAAGGCCTAGAGCCTGGTCTGAAAGGCTGAGATAATGGAATCGAAACTGCTCTGAACAATAACTGAAAAAGAACAGACTTTCTTGGATTGAAAGGTTATTATGAAGGCTGGAATGGCTATAGACAAACGCATTGAGAGTTCTAGAAGAGAACATTAGAGAGTCTGATTTAAAAGGGAGGAAGCCGCTGCAGTAAGATGACAAAGCAGGGAGAAGCGGGGAGATCAGGAGACCTCCAGAAAGAGTGCCTGAGAGTGGCGACGGCTGTGCGATCCATGAATGTACCAAAACCCTTTAAACTGAACTTTGCAAGGGTGATTTTCCAGTGTATATGAATTATATCTCAATAAGCTTGTTATACAAAAGGAGTGCGTGCCCTGAAATACAGGAACGGTGACATCTGATACTCAATTGGAAGTTGCTCCTGTTCTGCTTTGGTCCTCCTCAGTCACACCCGCATGTTAGTAAAATTATAGTGACTGCTGTAGTCTGGTCTCAGCAATACTGGAAGCAATTAAAAGGTGAGCCTGAGATGACAGTCACCATCCCACGAGCATTCAAGGCAGTGATTCTGAAGTGAGAGCAGCGAGGGGAATGTAAGAACTTCCTGGTGGTTCTGGGAAATAATCGAGGTCTGACCTGCCTTCAGTCCCATCGAAGGGGAACTGTCCTTGCCCCCTCCCCGTGTATGCGCACAATACCTAGGACACTTAGGAACTCAAGTTTTACAAAGGCTTGACATCTGCATGTTAGGTTTTAGCTGAAGTCTGGGAAATGAAGAAAATACGCAAAGAAGCAGTCAGAAAACAGAACATTATATTTTATATATTATAAATTATATTATAAAGAGTATATTACCTAACTAGGTCAACAAACTGTCTTTCTCCTACTCTTCACCTTAGTGCCTACTGCTAATAACTACACAGATTTTTTTTAAAGAATTATTTATTTAATTTTATTTATTCATTCATTCGTTCATCTTATTTTAATTTGACCAGAGCGAGACACAGAGAAAGAGAGAAAGTGAGAAAGCAAGCCACCAGGTCTGGGACTCAAACCATGGTTGGCCATGTGGGAGTGGCCAGCACCTTAAGCACCACGCCACCTGCTGGTCGCACGACTACACAGTTTCATAGAAGCTGGCCCAGTCTCGGTCTTTCAGCCTTTACCGGGCGCTCTGAGCAATCTTTTACAATAGCCTCTTTCCAAATTGCGGAAATTATACCTGCAAGTGTTGGAGGCTTTTTAACTTCTTAAACTGATCTCCTCTCTCACCATGACGGTAAGTTACACTCTGACGAGGCTAAGTGGGCAGTCTCGGCACAGTCCTTCCACTGTGCTGTCTGCCACCAAGGCAGCAAATGACACAGAGGAGTCTCTGAACATTGGCTAGTTCTTTCATAACTTTGGGGGAAGGTACAAGATGAGGCCACTTCCCTCAGGGATTTAAGTACATCTCTCAGGAAATTAGAAAGACACATTAATACATTAGATGAGCTACACATACAGTACATTTAGTGTGTCTGTAATAAAAAATGATGACTTTAGGGTTTTTAGTCCTGTGCAATAATATATATTATACATCCCCGGATGTTTTATGGAACAGGAGAGAAATGTAAAAGAGAAAGATACAGGTAGATCAAAGGGAAATAGCACCAGTGGTATGCTATGTTTGTGGGTGGCTGGAGAAACGGCATGTAGAGAAGGTGAAGGAGGCAGAGAGGGAAGAATGAGAGGCAAAGTGGGAAGTGGAAACCAAAAAAGGACATAGTAGAGAAGCAGCAGAGAGGTGAGGGACTGCCAGGAGATATAGGAAAACATGGGGAGAGACAGACAGACACCAAGTTGGGAGAGAAGGCTCCAGCAAGCACACTAAGAAATAGCCAACCCATTCCTCCACTCACCCTGGTCCTTCAGTTCCCTTTCACTCAGACCAAAGGTTTATTCTTGCCAATGAGGAGCTGAGTTACACTAGAAATGGACTGTCAACATATGGCACACATACGAACACACACATAACATAGACCAGTAGCATATACGAACTGCTTCCCAACATCATGGTATGTAAGTAGACTGAACTTGTAGCACCTTCTCAGTATCTTGCTAAGTACTGGGAGAATGTAAAACTTAGTCTCCCTGGGGCAAGCAGGTGGCATGGTGGTTAAGGTGCTGAACTCCCACATGGCTGACCACGGTGTGATTCACAGACCCGGCAGCTTGAAAATCACACTGGGTGTGCGTGTGTGCCCAAAATCCCAAGAGAAGAATGGAAGAGAAGGGGATAGTGGCGTGGTCACCCTTCTTGCAGGGTGATTTCTCACTTTCCCTCTCAATGTCTCTCTGTGGTGAAGGTAGCACCCTATGGCAATAACCTTAACAATAACACAAAACAAAACAAAAACCCTTAGTCTCCCTTAGTCAGTAATAAATACACAAGACTCATTTTTCCTCTCATTAAGAACACTGTGATAAAGATTATCTTCCAAAGGGACCAGCAGTTAGCGTGATGGCTATGTCGCTGGACTCCCACGTAGTCGACAGCGCTTCGTGGCCTGGACCCGGTGGCTTAAAACACACCGGGTGCATGTGCGTGCATGCCCAAGATCCCGAGAGGAAAATGGAGGAGAAGGGATTGCAGCGTGGCCATCCCCCCAGGAGGTGATTTCTCACTTTCTGTCTCTCTCTGTCTGGCAAGTGCACGTGCCCTATAGCAAAAACCTCTACAAAAAAATTTTAAAAATTAAAAAAAAAAAAAGATTATCTTCCAAAATCAGTTTAAAGAAGGATTAGGAAATATAACTATTCAGTGGGTCTAATTTAATAGAATATACACTAAAATATTATTTACTCCATTTTCTCCTGTTAGCGATTGGAAAAAGAAAGTTTCTCTTTACAGTTTCCCTCAGGTAAATTAGCTATCAATAATAGATAATTACAAATCTTTGAATTAAACTGGTCTTGAATTCTTCTATTTAACTGCAATAAGCAATTAATCATCTACTTGCCATCAACTGCATTTTGACATTACTGGAATATAAAGACATCTTCCAAGAAAAACTCAGGCACTAAACTATAAACTCTCCTGATCCTTTCATACCATTTTAGTTTTTAAAAAAGTAGATACATATGGGACCAGCAGTTGGTGTAATAGCTGTGTCGCTGGACTCCCACGTAGTAGACCACGGTTCGAATCCTGGACCCAGTGGCTTAAATTCACACCGGGCGCATGTGCATGTGTGCCCAATATCCCAAGAGGAGAATGGAGAAGAGACTGCGGCGTGGCCATCCCCCCTGGGGAGTGATTTCTCGCTTTCTGTCTCTCTGTCTCTCTCTGTCTCTCTGGCAAGCGCACCAGAGGTTATAGCAAAAACCTCTCCAAAAAAAAAAAAAAGGTAGATACCTATGGAAAAAGCTATGAATATGATTGTATATGTGTCTCAGGTAAAAGGAAGAGTTAAATACAAACACAGAAAATAGAATGACAAATACAGGAATATCCTCTAGGGAAAATAGAAATGAACAAAAAAATGAAACATTTTAATCACTTTTTATTAGCAATTATATATTCGACATAAATAAAAGATGAAAGTGATATTAAGTTCTTATCATTTATAATTTGACTGCCGTTTCAAATGACCCAAACTCTTTCCAGGGGCTTCACAGTTTAAAAAATAAAATACTTTTGTTCCATCTAAATGCATCCCACTGACATAAATGGTTTTAAAACCAGCAATAAAATGGCTAGCCCACAAACTAATAACTACTTATGATTATCGGACATGGTGGCACGGTGTGCACCAACTTCTAGCAGTACTACCATTACAGACAACTGTGATTCTACTTCACTGCCTTCTGCAGCGGCTGAATCAGACTCAGCTGAAATGCCACGCTTAATCAGGATTTCAGCAAGAAACGAACTGGCGTTCTTTGATAATGTTAAAAGCATTCATTACTGTTTTTAAAAAATGGTTACTAACCTTGCTGAAGAGGCTGAGTGTTTGTACTGGGATTCTGACTAACTGGCTGGGTTGAGCTACTGGCTGTGGTGGCAGTAACAAGTCGGACATAATGAAACTTGCTTCCAGGCACTTGAATCTGCTGGACATTGGGAGCAGTTGCCAGAGGAATAATGGTCTTAAACTGTGATGTGCTCACTCCTCCAACAGTGATGGTCTGCACAGCTGATTTCACTGCCTATTAAACAACACAACACGGCTATCATTAATCTGGGATTTCACTTTCCTACTCCTTTTCATTTATGACAATTGCTCAAGTAAGGAAAGTATTCTCCTGTATTTCATCAAAAGCTGTTGAGAGAAACAACCTGTTCAAAGAGAAATGAAAAGAACAGTAATGATTACAGGAGTGAAACCAAAATTAATGAGTTCGACCTTCCATTTCTAGTAGTTAACTTCCTTGACAGTCCAGGTCAGATGACTTGCTATAAAGAAATCATTACTTAATTTGTAAGAACTTACATAGTTTTGTTAATATCAGATAAAACTTTTAAGAAAAGAATTATTTTAGAACTCCCAGAATTAAGCCCCATATTCAATACAAAGAAAAGAAGATACAGATATTTTGGCTTTACTGCTACCCACTAAACTATGACAAATTTTTACATTCACATGTTCTAAAGGAGAAAGAAACCCCAAAGAAAAGCCCATCTCATACCCTCTATTAAATTCTGAAAGGCCTGCAATATTCTTTCAGAATAAAAGTACCCACTACCATACAGGCAGGATGCCTGTTCGGTCCAAAATGATTCTAACTTTGGTTGTCTAGCAAATATAACTAGTTGGGGGTAAATCAGATTTGAGTCAATCTTGTCATTTAAAATCATTTAAACCCTTTCCCAGTCCAACAGAAGGCAATAGGACTTCCCCAAAAGCTAAATGAAACATCAGGGCAGAGCAGGACAAATTAATCTTCTGAGATCTCCTTCACATTCACCACTCTGTACTATGTGGCCGCACAAAGCGGAAGTCCAACAAAATTCTCCAGCCAGTCAGTCGTACTGCACTGTTTTCACAAAGTATTACAACCCAACCCCTTCTACAGAAAGTCCTCGTGTTAAAAGACAATTTGCATATGATATAGGAAATCTATGTTCACTATGTGGACAACAATTTATGAAGGAAGAATTCTGACAATTTTGAACATTTTCATAAAAGCCCAGGCAAAAAACAAAAGAAGAATGTCATTTCATTTGACGACAATAGAAGAGAACTGTTTCAGCAAAAAATAATTCACATACCATCATTAGGTAGAGGTACCAAAAAGCAGATTCAAAGTAAAGATAAAAGAACAGCCACAGCAGTGAGTAAACTAAAGGAAAGGAGAAAGCATAAGAGAATAAAGTGTATAAATATGGAAGCTGTGGGAAAATCAAGCAACCTATGAGCTAAAGATGCACAATCCTTGCTACCTCAGCTCGCAATGGGGAGAAAAACACTACCTGAAGAAACAAGGTGCTTCAAATATAATTGTTACATTTACTGGGTGTTTGCAGTACTATTGGGTCTTCGGGAAAGTCATGATGCATTTTTGCATTAGAAAAGATGGGAAAATAACATGACTTTCCAGACAACCGAATAAATGAACTCTGTAAGATTAACTTGGGGCCAGAGATGGCATATTTGTTATGTCACTGACTCCCAAGTGGCTGACTGCAGTTCCTGGACCTGGTGGTTTGAAACTCACACTAGGCACATGTATGTGCGTGCCCAAGATCCCAGAAGGAAAATGGAGGAGAAGGGATTGCGGCATGGCCATACCCCTTGGGGGGTGGTATCTCACTTTCCCTCTCACTGTCTCGCTCTTTCTGGTGGGCGCATGCGCCCTGTGGTAAAGCCTCTTAAAATGAAAAAAGAGGGGCCGGCAGGTGGTGTAGTGGTTAAGGCGCTGGATTCTCACATGGCTGACTGTGGTCTGAATCCTGGACCTGGCAGCTTACTTCCTTACTCCACCCCCCATGCCATCTCTGTCTCTCTCCTGGTGAGTGCACTTGCCCTATAGCAAATTAAAATAATAATAAATAAAATATTAATCAATAAACAAATAATTGTTTTTTTAAAATAAAATAAGACTAACTTAAATCTAGCAACTACATTAGATACGGCAGCCACGGAAAGGTGGCTACGGCCAGGGCACAAGTACAATGGCTGGCTTAGTTAAGTTTGTATAATACACCTTTTTCTACTTAAAAACAAATCAACTGTTGTGTACATTTGAGGTACACAACATAATGTTATAGGATATGTGTGTGTGGGGTATAAATTAACATAACCATCAACTCACATCATCTCACATCTCACAGTTGCCTTTTTGCTGTTTTTTTTGGAAAGAACAGCTAACATCTATTCATTTAGCAGGAATCCCATATACAGTACGATTTTATTGCCCATAGTCTTCATGTTGTATATTAGATATTTATACTTATATCTGGTACTGGGTCCTCTGACTATGTCCTCCCAGCTCCCCCCGTACCCTCCACCCTACTTGTGGTGACCAGTTTTATTCTCTGTCTCTGTTAAGATAAGGAGATGCTGCATTATTTTCCTTTCCGTGTCTGACTTCTATCACTTATATGACTTCCTCCGCTTTCATCCATGTCATGGCAAATGACAGGATCTTCTTTTTAAAACTTCTTTAATTTGCCACAGGATATGTGTGCTCCAGGGAGAGAGGGAGAAGGAAAGAAAATGAGAAAGCGCTGCCCATGGAGGATAGTCACATTGCAATCCCTTCTCCTCCACCTATTTCTTCCTTTCAGGATTTTGGGCATGCACACACATATACCTGATGTTTTTGAAGTCACTATGTTCGGAACAGTAGGCCATGTGGGATCAGTCATCAACCACCACACCACCAGCTGGCCCGGGATCATCTTCGTTTTTTTTTTTTTTAATAATTATTTAATTTTATTTATTATTCTTCAATTTGACCAGAGAGAAACAGAGACAGAGAGGCAAAGAGAGGGAGAATGAGAAACCAAGCTGCCGTTCTGGGACTCAAACCATGGTTGTCCACATGGCAGGAGTCCAGTGCCTTAACCACATCCACCTGCTGATCCCCAATCTATTTTTTAAATAGAGTTTTTTGCTATAAGGTGCATGCACTTGCTGGAAAGACAGAGACAGAAAGTAAGAAATCAACCCCCAGGGGGGATGGCCATGCTGCAATCCCTTCTCCACTCTCCCCTCACTCCTCTCAGGATCTGGGGTATGTATGCACACACACACAAATTTAAGTTGCCCGGTCCAGGACTCGAACCTCAGTCGACTACATGGGAGTGCAGCGATGTAACCATTATGCCATCTGTTCATCCTTGGATCTTCTTTTTTAAGGTTTGAATAATATTCCATTTTTTTATGCTTACTTATTTCTTACATGAGTGAGAGAGAGGGTCAGAAAGCACTCCCAACACTTTTTTAAAAATAATTCTTTTTTCTTTTCTTTTAATTTAACCAGAGTGGGACACAGAGAGAGAGAGAGAGAGAGAGAGAGAGAGAGAGAGAGAGAAAGTGAGAAAGCAAGCTACCAGGTCTGGGACTCGAACTGTGGTTAGCCATAGGGGAGTGTCTAACATCTTAACCACCACACCACCTGCTAGTCCCCCTAACACTATCTTGACACTGCGATCCACCCCCAATTTCATCTAGCACCAATTGTGGACACGCATGTGCATGGCGGACTCAGGGAAGCCTCTGAGCCCAGAATCTTCCCATGTAAGTCAGTCTTGCAGAGTGTCACATTTTACCATTGGGCCACCATCCAGCCACTACACTGTTTATATGCTATAGTTTCTTGACCCATTAGTCCATTGACAGGTTGTTTCCATACCTTGGCTATACTGTGAATACTGGTGGGATGAACATGGGAGAGTAGATATCTTTATGAGGTAGTGGAAGGCTTCCTTCCTCCCTCCTCCTTTATGACTTTTGGATATATGCCCATAACAGGGATTGCTGAGTCTGTTAATTCTATTTTAATTTCTTTAGAAACTTCCACATTGTTTTCCAGAATGACTACAATCTACATTCCTATCCACAGAGTGCCAGGGTTTCCTTTTCTTCCCACTTTACCAATATTTGTCTTGTGTCCTTTTGATAACAGCCATCCTAATGAGTGTGAGGTGGTATCTCATAGTGGTTTTATTTGCATTTCCCTGATGATTAAAGATGTTGAGCACCCCTTCATATGACTATTATCTGTTTTGTATTGTTTTTGTGCCAGAGGCACAAGTATTCACCAGAGATAGATAGAGGGAAAGCAAGAAAGCTTTTTTTCCCATCCCCTGGGGAATGATCACAGCATAAATCTCTTCTCCTCCATCTCTCTCTCCACTTGGGATTTTGTGCATGGATGCATATGCACCCAGCGTGATTCTCAAGAAGCTGGGTCTGGGACTAGAACCATGCAGTTGGCCATGTGGGATCCAGCTGGACCTAATCTTACTTATTTTAAAAGTCTGAGTCTGATAACTCTATTACCTATGTCTCTTGGTTTTGAATACGTTGGTTTAGTCTCCTGGTATGGCTGACAATTTGTTGCCACATGCCAGGAATTGTTTATGAAAAATTAAGGAGACGACGGCAGCTCTAACTGATGTTACTCCTCAAGAGAGAATTCACTTTGACTTCTGGCTTAAGAATAGGGCTGTGGCCTGCAGGTCGTGTAGTGGTTAAGGCTCTGGACTCCCACATGGCCAGCTGTGGTTCAAGTCTCAGACCTGGTGGGTTCCGATTCAAACTGTGTGTGTGTGTGTGTGTGTGTGTGTGTGTGTGTGTGTGTGTGGTATGTGTATGTGTGCCCACAAATCCCAAGAGAGCAGAGGAGAAGGGATTGTGGCATGGTCATCTCCCCGGAGAGTGATGTTTACTTTTCCTTTCACTATCTCTATACACCTCTCTGGGGAGCACAAGCACTCTGGCAAAAACCTTAAAAGGAAAAAATAAAAAAGAATAGGGCACATCATCCTCAGCCAATTGCAAACTGACAGAAGCTGGACTTTGGTCTTTGTGAGGCCTTGTTCATTACTCCTCCATATAACCACACTTCCGTAACCTCAACCAGAAGGACTTGGTGTTTGTGAGAGTTCTTCCTCCTTGTTGAGATATGAACCAAAATTTTTTCCACAAGACCCACCTATTAGACTGACAGATCAGATCAGCTCCTGACCTGACTCAAGT